CCCGTGAGGGGAGCTGGCGTGTGCTTCTCCCCGCGGGCCTGGCGCTTCGACGTGCGGGCAGACCCGCCTCTGCCCTGGGCTTCCCCGTAGTCCGCTTGCAGGACTGCGCAGCACCAGGTGTGTAGGTGTGCGTGCATGTGCCGCAGCCCCGCTGAGTCGGGCGGAGCAGAGCCTGCTTTTGCTGGTGCTTGATAAAAGCAGGACTTCCACGCTGAAGCTTTCGGACGGCTCCTTTCAGCTGAGCCCAGGCCGGACCGCTTGGCCCCAGGGACATCTGTAACAGTGCACTGAATGCAGGGTAATTAAATAGATACGGGATTTTTTTTTAATGGTCCCTTCAAAGTTTAAAGAGCCGAGTATCTCCAGCTTTTGACAGAATCACAAGAAGTCAAACAGCTGTATTTGGAATAAAAAATATTTTTATGACATAAGGAAATAAGTTTTTGTAAGTTTTCAGGATTTTACAGTCTCCCAAGTTTGTTTCCCTATTTTGTCTGAATTGGAACCATTTATAAAAACCTTTTTCTCCATATTCAGTAACCTTTCCAGGAAGGCTCTTCTGTCCCAATTTACTACAAAGTCTGGTTTTATATGACATATCTAAAGGTAACACTTCGCGTGTTTTTTAAACAAAAACATACTGTCCTGGGCCCATACTGTAGAAGCGTTTCTAATGACACTCTTGCAGAACCACTTGCCACATCTTCAGACAGGATTCTGAGTACTGTAGGATTGACAAAATTTAACTAACATTATAACAGTTGTCGTAATAGAAGTGTTATGAATCATTGAGTCTTCTTTAACTTACAGTAAAAAGAAAAAAAACAGAGCACTATAATGTATGCGATGTTAACCACACTGCTATTTGCTCTCTCTGCCTCTGCATATCCCCTGCTTGTCTCATCTTAATCAAACAAGCAGCCTTTAATGTCATAAACTCTTTATAGTAGGAACTGTCATTAATATAAGCTTATACAGAGCTTACTAAAATAAAATCTCAAAATGGGATTCCTATTCCTGGTAATGTTAGCTCAGCTAAGCTAAGGTAAATATAAATGCACCTACCACTGTATATTTGTTCATGGGTTTCTAATTATTCCTTGTGAACAATATCCATTTTCAACATAAGACATAGCAGATTTGGTCCTGGTATAATTTTTTCCTACTTAGTTCAGATGGAATTGGACTTGTTTATGCTTCCCCTGAATTCAGCCGTACAAGGAGTCCACGTTTGTGGTCCCTTTTAATAACAGGAAAAACACTGATTAAAATGCAAATTCTGAATGTTTAATCAGGGGTTAAGGCCACCTCTATTGTTGCAGTCGATGTCAGCTAACTTCAGAACTTCTTGCTAGCCACAGTAATAGTTGTTCTCACAAACTCAATCCAAATCCCATATATTGAATCTAACTAAAAATTATTTTTCCAACTGTGGGCTGAATGAACAAAGATGTCAATAAAATCTATGGTGTGAAAATTTAGTTACTGGGTGGTTTTTGTTTTCCTGGTTTAAGCATTTATAGTGTTCTTAATGCACAGCTGCTCAGTGTATGCTCTTAAATCCTTTTTTTTTTCCGAGCAAGTCACTCAAGCAAAGATCCTGTATGGAATGTAGGCACCTAAAAACTACTTTCAGTGTTGCATATTGTCCTTAATGGTGTGAAGGGAGTAAGAGCTTAACTAACAAAGATAATTCGATTTTTCTTCTTAGCCAAATTAACACTTTCTGATTGATTAGAATATTTAAAGGAGGTCGTATTAGTTTATAATGGCACCCTCTTGTAAGCTTCAGAAAGGCTTGTCCAATAGACATTGGTTCCAGGTTGTGAATAGGGTGTCATTATTTTTATTTACTGTGATGACTGTTGTGATTTTTTTTAATATAAAGGTGTTTTGTGGTATGTGGTACTTGGAGAACAGGGTGGTTATGTCCATGGCAAGTTAGGTGTGCCAGCTGCGAAAGTGACTGAACGGTGGGTGATTGGGAATGGATCAATGATGTCCTCTGAGTACAGCAGTGAAAACTAAAAAATGAAGTGCAAATGATAAAAGCTTATTGAAAAAAAAGTCAGAGAAGGGAAAAATCAAGGAAAATATTCATTGAAAATTGGTTAGAAAGTCAGAAGAGGAAAAAGAGAGAAAATGAAAGGAGGTGCAAGAGACTGCGATCTACTCGAAAGGTTCATTGAGCTTTATAGTGGGCACTGATGGAAGATGGAATATGTGAATTGCCTTTTTTTTTCTTAAAATGTATATGTATTTTTGTAAATTGAGAGAATTCCATTTAGGAAATCTCGATGAAGTGCAAGAGGGGGTGTCTTTCCAAAGGTTCTAAATTGCACCACAGTTGCAGAGTCAGTTTCTCAGGTGGCCAACTGCCCACTACATCAGACACCACAGAACAGAGATTCAAATACGGAGTAAGCAAGCCCAAGTGATCCAGTAGTCACATGAATTACTAACTGATAAACTAAAAGTATATAACATAAGCACTTTTCTAAAAATATTTTTAATAAAGTAAGGAAAGCGGTATACTACAGGGTGTTTAGAAAATGCAGGAAAACTGCATCTGAAATAAAGGCTGTCTCATCAAACAATGAAGAAATATGACAGTATGGAATCAGTGATTGGGAAGAAACAGGAGTTTGTGTTTCATCAAGCTACAATGACAGGAATGTGACTGAAATGGCACATACCTCATTAGCAAGATCTGAGCGATGGAGCGCTGTAGCAAAAATGGGTTTCAGAAATTCATATTCTGTGCAGTCCAGTTCTGCTGACTCATTGATTTTGAGCAAGTAATTTCCTTTACTTGTGCCTCAGTTTTATTTTTGCACAACAGGAATGTGCAATTGCCGCAGAATGATTGAAACTTTCATGTTGCCATAGCACTGCCCTGCGAGTATGATGACTGTAGATCACGTCAATAGGAGAGCTGAGTAGTTAATGCATTTAGAGTGTTTTCTATCAAACTACCAATTTTAAATAAGCTGCTTCATTATGGGCCATATTCTGAAATTCTTTCTGAAACAGCTATTATTTTAGCTTGATTAAGAGTTTTACTCATGTGAGAGGCAAACTAAGTATGTTGAGAAGAGGCTTGCAAGTGTTTTGGATAACTGTGTAAAATTTACCATTGTGAAATACATGGTAAAAACCGTGAGTATGAAATTAATCATGATAACTTGTGTAGTGTATGCTTCATTAAAATCACATAAAGACCCTTCTTAAAAATAAGATCACCTAGTTTTTTTTTATTCTTGTTTTCTTTTTCTCTGTTTTATTCTAATAAGTGACCTCGGTGGCAAAATACTTGTGAATATCGAGTCTATTCACAGTGCACTGAGAAGGTCAGTTTAGCTTAAGAGCCACTCTGGTAGTACAGCACTTGTGGTTTTGGTAACTCACCTTATGACAGAAGCTGTAGAATATATTGGCAAACAGCTGCGCTAATGCTGCGTACATGTTTGTGGACTTGCTAGGGACTACGTTTCTCACTTAGTGGTGGTGATTTCTGCAGGATTTAAAAAGGTGGGTGGGAGGTGACAGGGAGGAAATCAAATCATGATTGCAGGTGAAACAAAGCTCTTGAAATTTCTTATCCTCTCAGCAATTATCACCAGCCCAGTGAAAAACAGTCTGTATCAAATGATAACCTTGAGCTGAGTACTTATGATTTTAAGAATTATGGGTATGGGACTGTAACCTGCCAGAGTTCCCTCATGAAAAAAGGGTAACTGCAAGTTAAGGCATATAGAGAATCTGTTAATTTTAAGGTGATTTTTCTGTGTGGGGGGTTTTTTTTCACCTTCTACAATTTTGTAAACTCAAACTTACCTTTTTTCTTCATGAAATGTACTTTGAAAACTGGCTGCTCATTAACCCTATTATTGTACTTCAGGGAAGAACTGCTGATGCTGAAGAGGACACAAACCCTTTTAAGGTGGTTATAATGAGCTGACTGAGGGACAGCCTCATACCCCCTTGGAGGAAAGAGATTTTGAGAAGCTGCTATGAAAAGGTAAGATTTTTGAGATCCGTAGTACTGAGTCTTCAGTGGAACTGTAATATTGATTGACTGAGGTGAAGCAACTCTGGAAGTTGACGCAATTCACATCTTCATTGATTCTTGAGGTGATAAAGTGTGCCTTTTGGATGTTGTAAGAAATACAGATGTGCCTGTACTTAGCTGTGTTGCTGGATTAAGTTTTTTATGCCAGTTTACTTGATATTTATGGAGAAGTTGTCCTTCTCAGGACAGCACAGTAGTTTAGCTATTAATCTGTAAATACCAAACATTCACTGCTTGCACTGCATATTTAGGATTGTGTTGTAATGTTTTACATGAGAAAGTTGTCTGTCAGGTTTGCTTAGATAGGCATGGATGCCTAATTCATGGGGAGTGGATTAGACAGAATCCCAGGTTGTATTCCCATTTTGACCAGATCCTTAATGCGGCAATCTTGTTTTGAATGGCTCAGGTTCCCTTGGTTCCAGGCAGTCTACAGTAAATTAAACTGGGCAGAGTGAAGAAATGAGGGGAACAAAAGAGAGACTGCTTCCCAGACTGTGTTAAATTAGTTTAACAGCAAAAAATTCTGTAGTTTAGCATCAGCTCCCCAGACTTTGTTGTGGACAGCCATGCAAGAGACGGACTACACAGAGCATGAGTGCAGTGAGGAGAGTAATCAAAAAGAAGAAAAGCAAACAGTGCAGTTTTCCTCTTTTAAAATAACTCTTTCTGCATACTTTTCATAGCATCATATACCTCCCTGTTTGCAGTTGCTGTAGTTTTTGTGAGAATGCCAGGTATTTTTAAACCAGAGAGTTGTTTGTCTGCTTCTAGAGGAGAAAGCTGACAAATCACTAACCCACGTCTGGATTACAGAGGAAACTGTGCTATCTCCAAGTCTGAGAATCCTTGCTGCTAGGGTTAGCATTCTCATGGGATGATTCCAAATAAAAAATTGAGCAAGCTTTAAAAAACTAAATTTAAGTAATAATCAACCTAACAAGTAATGAATGCTGAATTAATTGCTTGTTAGATCAGTCTCAGTTAATTAAAATTCCAGTGAAAGCTCAGAAAAACTTGACAGCTACTCACTGAAATGGCAAGTTTGCCATGAAATGCGCAATGTTATGTATTTCTGTGGAACACGCATAAGAAGGAAATAGTTCTTATGACTGAATTAGCTGTCACAAGTGCTATGCAGAAATGTCTCTGCTAATATTATAATCCATGTGAACTAGTGACTAACCTTCTTAAAGAGTATAATAATGGAGACTATTCTGAAAAATTTTGGTAACCTCAAGACCTACACAGACGTGTGAGTTGAGAATGTTCAACAAATAGGTATGACTCAAGTCTAATTATCATATACCCAAATATATTTGAATAGATTTGACTGTAACACAGTCTTTTGTTACCTCTTATGTTTGCAGACCAGTTTAAGGTCTGCACTTCTGAGTAAGGCCAGTAGCAATCCATCTGCAGTGAAGTGAGCAATGTATGGTGTACAGTCCCAAATGGCACACACATGTTCAGAGGAAAAGAGGAGGTTTAATACTATTGAAAAACCAATCAAAGTGCTTCAGCGAGGACCAGGCAGCTGTAAAACATTTTAGGACAGCTCAGGAATTCCCATGAGCAGAAGTGAGACAGGAAATAGTGAGAAGCTGAATAAAGTAGCTGAGGAAAATGCCTTTATTTAAAAGAGAGATCAATTCAAAAGAAGTTCAGCAGATCCCAGTGCAGAAGATGTCAGAGAAAATAGGAATCTTCTGAAAAGGGGAAGAAAGTCTGTATACTGAAAATGTAAATTTTTAAATTCAAATTTGAACTCTCATATCATCTGGAACTTTGTCTTCAAGACAGTAACTAGCTAGTTGTGTTGCTAAGTGAGTTCCAAGGTAATCATACCTGTACACTTATATAGTGAAGTGTGGGGAAATGACATTTAGTCATCGCATTAAATTTAGGGAACTTCATCTTCCGAGTCTGTTCATACTGATCAGCCAAATTTTGTCTCAGAATGGCATAAACTGCTTATTTGCACATGGAATAAATTTGGCTATGCTGCAACAAACACTAATTGAATGACTGCTTTGATAGTCTCATAGTCTGAGATGGGGTAAGTTTGGGACCAGAAAAAGTCGCGAGGAGTGGTCCTTTTAATGTGTTGGTGAAGCCGTAAGGCGGGGGAGGCCAGTGTAGTAAGAATGGAAGTACTAAAAGGAGAGATCCAGCCGTTGCCATGTCAGAGCGCTGAGGAGCTAAGGCGAACGGCTGTGTTGGTCTCCTGGTGATTTCCTTGGGAGTGCGATGTGCGGGCAGTCATCTCTAACGAGCATCCAGCAACGTACTCGCAATATGAGCTGCCGGCATGCTGATCTGGCGTCCTCACGGCAAGTGTGAATGGGTCACTTCCAAGAAACAGCCGTGCTTTGGGGGGAATACTTAGCTTTTACCTAAAGAAGCAGGCAGGGTGTGTTGGATGGTGCCTTTTAAACAGGAGAGCTGGAAGCTGAAACCAGAACATTCCATGGCAACTGGAGAAAGTTCCGAGGAAAGTGCAGTGAGAGAGGCACGACCCCCCTCCCCCTGCCTAGAGGAGAGACAAAGAACAGGCAAGGAGGGAACTGAAATAGGAAGCAGGAACCATGTCAGGAGGCCGGGGACTGAAAGAAAGCGAATTAATAAACCACGGTGGAGAAAGGCACACAACTGACCACAGCCACTAGGAAAGATAAGCAAATTCCAGATTCTTTAACTCCTCTCTCTGTGTGTGCACGCAGCCTGGCTAGTATGTTTAATATAATCGTTTTCCTCACTGTAGCAAGTACAACTCCTGTGTCTGTGGCACACAGGCTTACAGAATGTGAGCACTGTGTTGTCTACATAATACAGTGTATTTGGGTGGTGTTTGTCAGCATTGCTACCACTCAAACAACCTCACATTTCTAAAATTATATGTTCATATCAGGGTGTGTGCATACATAATGCAGCAGTAAAAAAGCTACTGGTAATACTCTGCCTGTGGTGTAGACAAACAGTTCCCATCAAAAGCAGAAATCCGGTGTATGGGCTGAGGGCACGGTGTGGCCTTAAGCTTAGTGTAATATTGCATTTTGGAAGTTGGAAGCTTGGTGCGCTCATTTGCACATCAGTACCCAGCACGCTTTTTCAGTTCCACCACTATTTAATTGAAGTGCTGGGTTCGAGCTCTTGGAAGGCTCTGTAGTTTGTGATGCCGTTGCATGCGCCAAGTTCAGTATTTTCCACAGAATAGTTTAAGTGACGATATTGGATTGTGAATAGGTCATCCAAGGATTCTTAATGAGGCTTGATTTTACAAATGCAAAGAAGTGCCCTCAAACGCTTTAAAAAGTATTGTCTTTAAAAAAACAAAGAAACCTGTTTTGAGACTGTGTGAACTGGGGGGGC